TTTTTTATGAAGATATATAGTCTTAAGACCCATTTTAATTTTAATATTTTGCCTATAAACAAATTGATAGCTGATTTGAGTACTTAAGTTATGTAAATTTGTTATTTAATCTAAAACGTAATTAAAGCAATTGTAAAAATTAAATTTATAATCACTGCTTTATAATCACTGCAATTACATTAAATACCAATTTAATTTATATATACATCATTTTTATCTCTCCCAAAAAAAGAAGTAATACCAAATTTTTGCTAGTTTTATTTTTGTAGGATAATCAGATAACTAATTGTGTATTCGTTCGCAGGAAACGTCATACAGGCGTCGCTTCTCGGCCATTTGGAATGATACGTCGACAGCGAAGCTGTTGGTGATGGTGAAGCGTTATCAGTGCTTTTACAATCGGTTCGACCCGGACTATCGGAGCAAGGAGCGCCGGGGCGAGGGCCTGCAGCAGATGGCAATGGAACTGCAGCAGCTGATCGATGTGACCACCATACAGATATCAAAGCGAATCTCGCAGCTGCGCTTCGACTACTCCAAGCAGAAGAGCGAACGTCTGAATGCGGAACGAATGGGTCGTAAATTCATACCGAATTATATCTACTACGATCAGATGAGCTTCATGGACGATGACATACCGCCATTCAAGTGCCAGCATTGCGGCGAAATTGTGCAAACGCTGCGGGAACTGGATCTCCACATGCTCAGCCATCAGCCGAGCCTGGGCGGTGGCTACTACTGCAACGTGTGCAACATTCAGTTCAACAATGCGGACGAGTTCGAGAATCACAAGCAATTGCATCTGGGCGCCGGCCACGAGGTCAAATATAACTGCGAACTGTGCACGGCCAGCTTTCGGGAGAAGTCCAACTATGACGAGCATTTGCGTCGCCACAACGATGAGCTCTTCCTGCCAACATTGGCTCTGAACCACAGTATCCTGGACAGCGCCAGTGGGGACGTGGACGGTGCTGGCGGCGATGGGACATCCATTGTGGGGGCCGGCGAGGAGGAGGATATGTTTCCGCCGGATGGCCCGAAGCCGTTCGCCTGTGAGGTTTGCCATCGCACGTTCGCCTCGCCCGGCCATCTCAACGCGCATCGCATTGTGCATCAGGATGAGCGCGAGCGATGCTACAAGTGCGACTATCCGCAGTGCAGCAAATCGTTTGTGTCCCGCCACAGTCTGTTCGACCATCTGAAGCAGCACTACAGCAACGAGGAGTTCAAGTGCGACATCTGCGGCAAGATCTTCAAGTCCACCAAGAATCTGCAGAACCACAAGCAGATCCACGACAAAGTCAAGCGCTACGTCTGCCAGATATGCGGCTCGGCATTCGCCCAGGCTGCTGGCCTCTACCTGCACAAGCGACGTCACAATCGTCCCAATGGCACCACCGGCGCCGTTGGCGGTCGATCCAGCCGCACCACGCTGTGAGCGATCCGTTCCAGACCCAAGCGGTTATCCTGATATGTGTTTTGCCTCAGATAAAGCACAAGCACGCACACATATACACACACACATACATAAAAATTATTTCTAAATTATTGCAATGTCCTCCAATGCCAATGTTTGGCAGCTATTTTAAACGCGTTTTTTTCTTTTGAATAATGTATTAAATTAATTTTAGGTTTTTTTTTTTCATGATTGTAGAAAAACGATTGCTTTTAATAATTGTATTAATTATTAGTGTCAGTTAATTATTTAGTGCCCCCTTTCCCCTTAGCAACTTTTTGGCGCTTCCTCTGAACGAAGCGCTGTTCACAATTGTACTTAAAACTAAACAAGTATTTGCAAATTGTCCGCAACTAAGCCAAGAACTTTAATACATCTAAGACATATACTATATATACATAGACATATATATACAAACATACATACATATATTTAGAGATCTGCCGTCTTGCTCGCACGGCAGCCGAAATGCTCATTTTGGTGGGAATGTCAATGTCGGTGAATCGAATGCGATTTCTGAACAATTTTTAATTATTTTGTATCTGCTTAAAAGACAATTCCAGCAAAATGTGAATAAATATGGTGACTTTAGATCTTCGACTAGGCAACGAGGCGAACACATTCCACACTAGTTAAATGATTAATAAGTGTCAAAAAAAAAACAAAAACAAAAACAAAAAAACAGACCAGCAACAAGAGAAAACAAAAAACAAGTATTTCTTAAAGTATTCTATGTACAATTAAGTATGCATATAATCTATATATTTATTTTAAATGCGCGTGCGAGTTCATAAAATCAAAATGAGAACAAGAAAATGCAAAAACAACAAAATCTGTATTAACTGCAGTTGCGCAAGTGCAGGGCCATTTAAATGAAGCAACAATTTAACAAACAAGCAAACAAAATAAAGAAAACAGTTCATAAAAGTTTGAAAACAAAAAACGAAAAAAAAAAAAAAAAAATGAAAAATTAAAAAAAGCAACAACAGCAACAATAACAATAACAGTTACTAAGCTCAGCACTATTGCATTAACATAATTCTATTGATAATAATAACAATCCATACATCAAACTAGTTTTAGTTAACAAACATAAACGACTGAATCTGAAAAATACATTTACATACACATAATTATACACATACGTTTACATACATATAGAGATGTAAAAACGAAAATAAGTAAAATGTTGAGAGCCCACTACGGCTAGCCGTAGCTTCTATAAATCATATATTTGCACATTATATACACACACACACAAATATATAGAATTAATTTCGAATGCAGCTATTTATACATTATAAACATGAATTTGTTTACCAGCCAAAACGTTTGTGTACCTATCTGTAAACCAAAATCATTTAACATATTTATTTATCATTTATAGCGTGCAATCCTCTGGCGGCCGTCTGGCTGCTTCATCTCTGTTCAGGGACTTCTTTTTCTGATCTATGAGCGGAAGAAGAAGAAGAAAAACTTCATCACTCACGCGCACATGCATCTATCTGTTTACATACGTTACATACATTTGGCATAATAGCTCGTTATCGTCGATGTATATAGTTTGAGATGTGCATTTATGAACTGCTTGCCGCGGATGCCTCGACGTTGCTGTTATCGATAAGCGACTGCAATCGATTGCATGCGCCAAATCAAAAACGATCAATGCAAAAACTGCAATAACACACACACACACACACACACACATACACATAACAAGCACATGCACATACAAGCATATTAACATAACAAATATATAAATAGATATACATAGATATATATTATGTACTTTTATAAGACAACAACAAGAAATTCATACCTAAATATATAAGTTCATTTAGCACAATTAACAGCAACAAGCAAACATACAAATGTAAATGTTGTACCATCAGCAGCAACAGCAGCAGGCGATCAGCAGCAGCAGCCGCTACTAGTATAATTAAGTATTTTAATAATAATTGGCTTACTCATATGCTTTAAGAATTAACAGGCGCAGGAGATTAGCGACACCTGCGTATATCAATTAAAACAGAAACAAACATGTTTGTGTTTTCTTTAACAAAACTTGTGAAATAGTTAACAGCAGCTGTAAGAGAGATTTGTACACGAATTGATCCACAATTCGTTTCAGAGGCCGTAACAAAGTGCGCTTCCTTAAGCTATTAAACAACTATAAACAATACAAATACAAATACATATATACCTAACTACTAGCATATTTATATACATACATACATATATATATACATATGTACTAATTGATAAGCAAAGACAAACAACAATTGCAATACAAACGAGAGCAACAAACAAACAAAAAACATTTTAGGCGAGCACCCAGAGATTATCAACTCCAACGCCAACTTCTACCACATGTAAATTTCAATAAAAAACTACAAATACATATTTATTATATGAATTATCTTGTTTTGACAAATTCGAATGTATTCCAATCCCCAGCAATCCGTGCTGGAATCGAAATCAAAGTTTCTGCTTCTGAAACTCCCCTAAATGACGTACATCTTAAAAATAATCTAATCCAATCTTGTTTGCTAAAATATGTGCGAGCTCTACGCCCTCCCTCAAAAACTAGATAGCTGTAGATTTTTTATACTTCTGATTACCACCTTTATCTATATACATATTTTAATGTCGTGGAATCGGTTTTGGCACCCAAATCGTTCAGTTTGAGAAAATCAGAATCAAAGATAATTTGGTAGAATTCCCGCTTCCCGCTGTTTTTGAATTCTTCACGCAATCCGACTTTGAAAAAGCCCCAATTTGACGTAAAAAAAGCCGAAACGATATCAGTAGTCTTAACAGAGAAATGTCTTATTTGAGAAATGTCTTAATTGATTAATATTCAGGTAAGGATTCTTTTCACAACTCTTCTATGCGATTCTCGTGCATTAAAGCAAGCCTTACTGCTAGTTATGCTTTCCAAACTCTTTCCTTTTCTCACTCTCTCTCTTTCTCTGTTACTCCGGCTAATTCTTTTGCTTTATTTCATTTTATCTTTCATTTATCTCTTTGCATATTTATCTAAGTTACTCTCTGTTTCTATATTACTCTGTCTTATTTTATTCTTAGGTATGTATGTATGTAATTTGACTCGCAATCCTTCTACACGATTCTCATGTAATTAAGTACATTTTATCTCTTTCTCTCCTCTTATCACTCGCAAGTTTTGGTTGTCCTCCTCAACATTTTTTTTTTTTTATTTTTTTTTTGTCTGGTCTATTACTATCTCTCTCTCCTTCTATCGCTCTTTATTTCTGTGTCTCCCCCGATCAATAGATCTCTAAATTACGCCGAATGCAAATTGTTTATCAGCAATTATTGGTGATTGCGGAATATGTCCAAGTATCACTAATTGACAAAAATAAAAAAGTAAAAAGTGCCATTAATTCTGAAGCACGCTTTTTTATCCACACTATCAGCGAATGCGATAAAATTATCAAGCGTGTAGAGCAGTGATTCAATTATATCAGTTAATTATATTCAATAAAAAAGAACGTTTAAATACTGCTACCAACAAGTATTGCCGTTTTGGCTTATTTTCGGCCAGATCTGGTTTAATTTTAAATGCAATTGCGGAAAAAATTTGGAAATCGCGGATAGCGGAAAATCTGGCCTATTTATTAGTTATATAATATTAGTTACCGATTAATAGACAAACTAACAAGCTGGCAACAATTAAAGGCTAACATCACAAGTTCTGCAATACTTTCATCTCTAACATATAGTAGTTAGATAGATTTGCTGTTGCGCTTCGCATACATTGGTGGAATGCCGAAGTTGAAGGGTCTTTAGCCAAGTCAATTTAATGAAGTGTTCAATAAGAAATAGGATGAACATTGATACCTTAAACTCAATATCAACCATAAGGTAAAGATTAAAGGAGTACAGCCTCATTAAAACAGAAACTAATATTTTTAAAATTTTACATCCGATGATGTTTTTATTACAGAGTTTTTCTAAACTACCTCAAATCGATCGCAACCAGGGAATATTTTATTATGAAACCGAAGAGTCTGTAGACTATCTATTGGCAGATTTATCATCAATGTAAACATTTAAAATGTATAATGTTAMATTTTCTATTATTTTCGTTTTGTTTTTCATGAATATGAAATATTTGTTACAATATTTGTACGTGTATCTATCTATTACAATATTAAAAGAAAAAAAAAAAACAATTCTAAAATATTAGCTTATTTTTCAGCTGAGATTTAGTTTCTTTTTGCTTTTTTTTTTCCTGATTCAGCTATTTTTTCTCGGGAAAAACGGCAACACTGCTAAGCTTTAAATATTTGAAACTCGCCCTCTCCTTAACCTTAACTTTTTGCACTCGATTTCATTCAAGACCTGAATTCGCTTTAATAATTAGCGTCTGCTGATAATGCGCAACAATTAACAAATTCGAGAATTCGCGGACTTTGAATTTGTTTTTGCAAGTTTACAATTAGCAGCAATTGCCAGCCAAAAAATTTGAACGAAACCCCGTCAGGCCGCTTGGGCGCAGACGCACGATGACTCGTCTGTCTTGCATACGCGGATAGATTAGAGATGAGCGCGTCACTGGCACGAATACAGATCAGAAAGTAGAAGATGTGAAATGCTACAACAGTTGGACAAATGATATATGTATTTATGAATTATAATAATCATATATTATAATTATAAATATAAACAAACATATGTATGTATTTTTACGACGTTTCGTGTCGTGTTTCTGCTGTATTAGAAGAAATTTCGCTCACCTCTAATGAGATATAAAAGCAACTACGTAAAATCGTATATACTATATGCGAGCACCTAGAGACTACATACATGTATGTATAAACAGCAATGCGGCGGGCGCGTGCTCGTCTTGTATCTATGCATGTGTGTGCGAAAGTATATTTAAATTCCAAGGAAATTAGAAATTCTGGTAAACACATTAATCAGAATGTGGGTACATTGAGTCGATCGATCGTCGTCGATCGTCAAACNGCACTCGATTTCATTCAAGACCTGAATTCGCTTTAATAATTAGCGTCTGCTGATAATGCGCAACAATTAACAAATTCGAGAATTCGCGGACTTTGAATTTGTTTTTGCAAGTTTACAATTAGCAGCAATTGCCAGCCAAAAAATTTGAACGAAACCCCGTCAGGCCGCTTGGGCGCAGACGCACGATGACTCGTCTGTCTTGCATACGCGGATAGATTAGAGATGAGCGCGTCACTGGCACGAATACAGATCAGAAAGTAGAAGATGTGAAATGCTACAACAGTTGGACAAATGATATATGTATTTATGAATTATAATAATCATATATTATAATTATAAATATAAACAAACATATGTATGTATTTTTACGACGTTTCGTGTCGTGTTTCTGCTGTATTAGAAGAAATTTCGCTCACCTCTAATGAGATATAAAAGCAACTACGTAAAATCGTATATACTATATGCGAGCACCTAGAGACTACATACATGTATGTATAAACAGCAATGCGGCGGGCGCGTGCTCGTCTTGTATCTATGCATGTGTGTGCGAAAGTATATTTAAATTCCAAGGAAATTAGAAATTCTGGTAAACACATTAATCAGAATGTGGGTACATTGAGTCGATCGATCGTCGTCGATCGTCAAACCTCTGAGGCAAAGCAATAGTTAAGATAATAGTAAATGAAAGACAACAATTCTTGATATTTGTTCTATTTGAGTTACTCATGGCTGGTTTGACCCGCGATAACAAATTATATTTAGCCGTCGGCTCTCATAATGTATACAACAAAACATAACAAGTCAAAAAATTGAGGCTTAAGTTGGTTCTTCGGTTATTTTTCTTCTCCTTCATGTTCCAAAAGTGTTGACGACACGATGACTCTGCATCGCTGTCCTGACTAGAACTAGATTAGTTCACCATGCTCATTCACTTTGATGATGCGCACTTTCTCCTGGCGATTCGATAGGATCTCATCGATATTCCAGCTGCCTCCGCTGGCGCTGCTGCTGCCATCCCTATTGGAGAAGAGGCCCAGATTGTCCTTGATCAAGTGATCGACGGCACAGCCATCGCACTGGAGTATGACCACGCCACTGTTGTAGGCCTCCTCGCTGATGGTCTTCGTGTTGCGTGTGTTGCACAACTTGCAGAGGTACACGATCTCCATGCGTCGTTGCATACGCCGGAAGCGTTTCAACGTTGTCGGCGATAAGGAGCCCTTTGGCTTGGCTCCAGCGACACTGCCCGTAATCTCGAACGGCTTGGCCGTAAAGCGACAGGCGTCGAGGATGGAACGCGGAATGGATAGCGTCGATCGTTGGACTTCATTCAGCGGTTTGTCCGCATCGGCATCGGACAGCGCCACTGGTCCCTGTTGTGTGGCATTGAGGATCGCATTCTGTCCATTCTGGCGTAGATAGTTGAGGGTACGCGACGTAAAAATATTGCGCAATGCGTTCATTTTACATCGGCATATTCACGGTTATGATGGATACGGATATGGATATAGGTCATTCGATGCCAAACACACTGCCGATCTGCGCGTGTGAGTTATTTAGATGATACTAAGTTATTATTATCATAAACAAACGACGCAGTTTGCTCTGCCGAGAGCGACCACTGTGGCTACACCACCGCACGCCGATACGCGAGCAAGTGATGATACAACCGATAGTATCGTTAAATCAGCGACCAACAAGTTGGTGGTGGACGTGAAGTAAGAGCTTATAGACAAATGCAGTCGCATTCAGAGGTTCTATAGCTCAACTCATTGAGTACATTCATATAAAATATTATTTGATCTGCGTATTTTTATTAATTTAAATATTACAATTATTTTTATTATATGTAAACATTTTGATATTAGAATTGAGCGTTGCCAGTCAGCTAAAACACAAACTGCTTTCAAATCATAGAAATACTATCATTTTCGGCAACAATTTGGTATTTTGACATTCGAGATTTTGGCTGCACACATTTGTGGTCACACTTACTATACAGTGTACTGAACGGCAAGCTCATAGAAAAATAAACAAAAAGGAAGCTATCGAAATTGATTGAGCATGGGCGTAACCGTGTTGCAACCATATCCACTCCCAGAGGGCAAGTCTGGAGCCCACATCATGGACCATCTTGGCAAGCGTCTACTCTCGCTGGGCGCATCGCATGCCGGCCAATTTTTGGTGGACTGCGAGACATTCATCTCGACGCCGCAGCACGGGACGCCGGCTCGAGCAGTGCATGTGCTGCACAACTCCGAGTATCCGGCTTCCACGTTCTCCATAATCGACAATGGCACCGGCAAGCAAGTGGCCATCGTGGCCGACAACATTTTCGACTTGCTAATGCTTAAAATGACTTCCATATTCACATCAAAGAAGCAAACGAAGATTGAGTCGCGCGGCGCCCGCTTTGAGTACGGCGATTTTGTCATCAAGCTCGGCTCTGTCACCATGATGGAGCACTTCAAGGGCATCCTCATCGAGATCGAGTACAGGCCCTGCATCACGCTCTCCTATTGCTGGGAAATGATACGCGAAATGCTGCAAGGCTTCCTCGGCATCAACGTGCCCAAGGAGTATCCCACTTACTTCACCACTCAGACCATCATGAATGCCATGGGCCAGCAGCAGCTGCACGCCAAGCAGAACGACCTCTACGAGCCAATGGACACGGTCAAGCAATACCTCGAGCACTTCACCAACTACCGCAAACACGTCCAGATGCACGGTTCGATGGCCAGCTCCACTGCCTCCATCAGCTCAGTGATGCTGCCCTCGTCTGTTGGGATGGGGCGACCCTGATGCGAGGTGAAGCTGGAGCCGCCAGATACCACCTAACCAGCCGGCCAACAGCGGTTCTTTTCTATTTATTTTTATTTTCTTTGGGCTTAGATAAAGAGTAAAAACTGAAACTTTTTAATGTATTTATGTTCTCTTTTTATTATTATTTTGTATGTATCTGTAACACAATAGTTGTATATAATATATATNATCTTTCGCATCATAAGGCGGTTTGCCCGATCAGCAATCTTTCGTTTTCGGCCACCTACACCCTTTGCCTCAAATCTTCCCTCGTTTTCCGCGCGACTGAGAACGTTGTATATTGTTTTTCTCGACACGGAAAACATTTCCACTAATTCTGCAACTGATTTGCCCAACTGCCGATTCCAGAAGATCAATTGGACAACATCGAAACTTAATCTCTTTCCAGGCATTATTAATCAAAATTAGAATTGCTTTTTGCATGTGAACTCAGCCAAATTTCGCACAAAGTGAAAAATAAACACAAAAATCGAGATGCATACAGAAATTCTAAAAGCATAGTTAACGGTAAAGCACCGTTATTTCTTAGAATGAGAGCAAAACAGACGAAGAGAACAAAATGTGTAAAGAGTTTCTTGACAGTGTCAAATATGAGTAATCTAAGTTTTTGTTGTTTTTTAAGTTATACCCTTATTGTTTTTGTTTCTGTTTTTTATAATTTAATTTAAAAATATCTATTAAACAGTTAACCATTAAAAAAAATTAGCCAAATTAAACAAAAATTCTTTATTTTTGCACATAAAGTAAAAAAATTGAGTTTTTTTCCACTGTGTAAAGTGTTTCTTGACAGACTGTATGTATTTATTCAAAGTGTATGCGAGCATTACAAAGAAGAAAAAATTGTGTAGTCGTTTATGTTTATAATTATAATAAGTAGATAATTTGTAGGGCTGAGTCTTCTCTCGCAACAAGACCGAATATTTGTTGTTTTGTTTTTTATGCTTAAAAGTAAGAAACTGCTCTTGCAATTTGTATTATTGCTCCAATGGTAAAAATGGATTGTGTGTGTATGTGTTTATAAATGTGTGTGTGGTTGCAACGTGTAAAATGTAAAATACAATCAAAAATAAAACTAACCGCAAATTTTGTAACACAAAGTTAAAAGAGATTTAACAAATCTGGAATTGAAATCGATGTGCCGGATTTTAAATATACACATATTTGAAATGTTTTCTAGGGGCCAAACATAAATATTAAGTATATCTGTGAATATGTGAATAATGCATTCATTTGTTTGCGTTAGCTGCTTTCTTCTCTTTTCTGTCGCATGAAAACTTAAACATAACACAATTATCGTAATATAATCTGTAACTTTTCATTTTTGTTTGCTTGCATGGATTTCTCTTAAACTTAGTTGTATATTCTAATAAATTTTAGTTGTGTGTTAAATGTCTAGTAATAATAACGGTGTCTCTGTGTCTGTGTTTCAGTTTGTGATTGTGTTCATGTGTATTTGTGTGTGTATAACAGTTTCGTATAAGTAAATAAGTTTGCAGTTCCATTTACTGCTGCAGCCTGCAGCCTGCAGCTGCGGCAGCGACGAAAATTGCTCTCATCAGCTTTTTTCGCGCGCACTCTTTCTTTCTCTCTCTCTATCTCTTGCTTTTCTGCACTCGCTCTTCGAAAGTTTGGTGTCTGTCTATAGGCCTGTGAGTGTGTGTTAAGTGTTTGTATGTAGTGTTTATTGCTGTTTCCGTTGTTGTCGTTGTTTCCATATTCTTTTTTGTTGCATTGTTATTTTACAAATATTTTTAAAATAATTTTGTTTATAGGTAGATATATATATATATGTGTATATATGTATGCATGCATATGTATATATTACTCATATAGTTTAAACGGAGATCAATTTCCGATTGATTGTTATTTGTAGTTACTTTTTTAGTTTTATTTTTATTTTATGTTCTCATTTTATTATTCCATGTGCAACAACAACAAGAGAAACAACTTTTTCTTTGTATACTCTTTCGCTCTCTCTCTCCTCTCCCTCCTGCTATCATTCTATCTTCATCTCTTCGGTTTTGTGTGTTAAGCTGTTGCTGTTGTTGTTGCTTGCGTTTAACGGTATTTTGTTTTGTGATATTGATCTTTTTTCTTTCATAATTTTTTTGTTATTGTTGTATGCTGCTTCGGCTGCGGCTCCCACTGCCCCAAATTGAAGTCATTCGATCCTTGCTATTTAGTCGTGCATAGGCAAAGTTGCCGGCTTAACGTGTCCGCCGTCGCCTTCAGAGACAAATCGTTTGCGTCCACTGTAATCAGAACAGAGATTAAAATCAATTGATGCAGACCAAAAATACTAAAAGTACTATTGAATTGCCTTTTCAGACTTCAAAAATTCAAATCAATATATCAAATCAATATATCGAATGCATTCATCCTTCCTTTTTAAGCATTTACAAATTTTAGTTTTATAGGCAACAAAATAATATTCTGATTTGCATTATTCGCTTTTTAAGCACACTTGTGCATAAAATATTCCGTGCAAAACCATAAAAACAACGCACATCACTCATTATGCAATGCCAAAAACAATTACAACAAAAAATACCACAATCACATTACGAAAATACATTTTGCGAATTTGGCAAGTGAGATCAAACTACAAAAACAACAACGAAAATGTCCTAAAAAAGCCCCAACAACAAATCTCGACGCGTTACTCGAATGAATTTGCAGCAGAGTTTATTCAACCGTTGACCCTTTTTACTCCTCTCTGAACGAAAAACTGCAGCGACAAAACAGCTGTGTTACGACTAGCCTGTGCATGTGTGTGTGTGTCTGTATGTGTGGGTGAGGAGGAGGTGAGGTGCGCAGATTGCACTACACAACTAGAAACTAGTTTCGCTGGTTTATCTGAAGTGCCGAACAGGCCAGTATCAAATTTTAACCTACATCAACTTGAAAGCTCTATTTCTGTTGCATGAATATGTATGTATGTGTATGCGAATATATGTAATRTGAAGCAAGCACAATTTGGAGACTGGGGGCGATCAACTATGGAGTATAGGCAGCAAATTATTGTTAGCTCATGCGAGCGATAGTGCGACAGATAGAAGAAACGACAAATGAAAGCACTAGGGTTATGTGCCTGGCTGTCCAATACTCTGTTTGCACATAATAGATATAATAATAATAATCATACTACATATACGAGCACAGCATACACCATACAGCACATCGTTTATAGGGTATTGAGGGACACGTTGTCACAGTAGCGCTCAAGTGTGTGAGCGTGTGTGTGTGTGCAATGTAAATGCTTCTGTCATAGTAGTTGGTGCTTTTTTCATTGTGGCTATGTTAAGTGCCAAAGAGCAACAGCCGCAGCCAAGGCGAATGCAAAATGCAGTTCCAACAACTGCAACGACGGCAGCTAAGCTTACAGCAGCAGCAACGACAACGACAACAACAACTGCCTACTAGCTTGTTCATATTGTTGCTGTTGTTGTGCTGCTTTTGTTTTGTGGGTGTGGCAGAGCAGGTCGATAACAGCGGCGACTGCAACTGCACTGGCAACGGCTACAACTACGACTACGGCTATAGTCAAGGCAGAAGCAGTCGCAGTCCCAGTCGCTTAGCCGCCATTTTTACCTTCTCCATGGGACTCACGATCTTGAGCCACATGCAGGTTGTTGCACCACCAACAAAATCCACCATCACCACCCTACCCTAACTATCACAGCAACTATAACAACTATTTGTGATATCAATGCCAACTTTGTTATGTTCTAGTAGTGTGTGTAAGTGTGACCAGCGCCACGCAATCGATACGCATTATCGATATAAACACTATCTCGCTCTCCCTCTCTCCACACACACGCACAATGTTTGACTGAAAAATTCTAAATAAATTGAAAACGAGTCACACGAGTTAATAAATAAATAATGCAAGTTGCGTGGCAAACAAATAACGAAATCAGCTTCATATCTTAGAAGTCAATAGTAAATAGAAACTACTTATCTAATATTCTATTTTTTTTCCCAGTATGACTACTGTTTACTCTATTGCGGTGATCATCTGACATATACAATGTGCATGTCGGTTTATGTATATCATGTTCAGTATTTAGATTAAAAAGTGTGTTAATAAGAAAAAATTGAAATAAGAGCTTTCGATATTTTTTCGCAGAATATTGAAATATATATATGTACATATGTATGTATGTAGATAATAATTCCAAACACATAAACAAACATATAAAATAAATACATACATATGTATGTAAAAATATATTTAGTTTTAATTTTTCCGCTAACCAAAACAAAATCAATAAAAATAAAACTTTTTTATACCTGTTTGGCCGCAAAATCTGATAAAATAAACATACACACATACATATGTATGTACATACATATGTTTTTCTTAAAGAGTATACGTAAGCTGATGTTTGTATGTACAAATATGTATATATATGTATTTACATATATACTTTGAAATAATAACTAACCGGCGCTGATAAACCGGCCCCTCAAACAACGCCTGTGACTGCCCCAACCTAACGTAGAGGCTGACGCTGTCGACGCCAGCAGAGCCAATGTTGCCTTGCAAAAATCAAACTGCGCAATAGAAATATCATAAACAAACACACACATACACACATGTAAAGTGAGAGAGAGCGACAGACGGCACACATACTTACTCACACGCAGCACAAAATTGAGAAAATGAGTCAAAAGCAAAAGGAGAAGAAAAACAACAGCTAAGAACGACGCAACGGGCGACACACAAAATAACAAACAACAAGTCAAGAAGGGGAGCCGCAAAATGCCGGCAAAAAAAAAAAAAAAAACACAAAATCAAAAACAAGTTGATGGGGTGTCCACATTCATACATACATGTATTTGTACACATATGTATGTGCATTCTACATATACATACGTATCCATGCATATAGCTATGTATATATGTATGTATGTATGTATACATGTGTATTTCTTTTATATACAGACATATGTATATGTATGTATACAAAGCTGAGAACAATAATAAAAACAGCAAGACTAAATAATGGGCTATATATTGTTGACGGGGGAGCCGCCTCTGACTGACAAGATTACGTAAAGTAAATTGTTTTTGTTTTTATTTTTGTTGTTTTTGCTTTATTGGGCTGACGGCTGCTAAACGTTGTTGTTGCTGTTCTTGCCGTGGCTTACAGGTGGGCCCGAACAACGGGCCCTGCTTGCACACAAACACACACACAATGAACGAATAAGTATATTGGCATGCCGATCATTCATACTACTTAAAAGGGGGCGTGGGGATGGGATGTTTAGTGTTTAGCACACCCACACTTACCGCGATGGCACATTGTTGATAATCTTGTCGGTTAGGAAGCCGGCACGATTGCATCGTTCTACAAATCGATCGAGTATTATATACGCCAATGGCACGTCCAGCACAATATCCGCCATGTCATCAAAGACGCGCATGAAGCCCTGCAATCAAAACCAATCAAACGAATATAAACATTGATATAATAAGTGCATACAGATGTACTAGTCATATCTATGTCATGTACAGACATGTGCGTGCTCGTATCAGGCAGAAATTAAAGTTTATTTTCACCGGTAATACTAGACACTGTCTAGTCTAGTTTGGTTTATTTCTAGATATCGTGCACTCACAATCTAAATAATCTGGCAACACTAGATGGTTTGATTACGCATTAAGCTGGCTGCGCCTCGATCAATGCTTCTCTCTCTTTGTGTTCGTTATTTATTACACTTTTTAAAACATTAGCTTTGCTTCTGTTTTACCTAAAATGTTCTATATTTTAAAATTTTTAACTTTATGTTTGCCCGATATTTTCTATATTTTAATCATTTGTTCGTATTTTAAAATATTATTTTCCTTCTTTTTGTTCTTCTATTTTCTATACTTTTAATTATTGTCTTTGCTTCTATTTGCCCGATATGTTCTATTGGTTTGATCGATGTTTCCCATATCCTAAAAAATGTTCCTTAGTTCTGTTTCCTCAACATTTTTACATTTACAAATTCTTATTTTTTTAATTTGAAAAACATTTCGCATCACTGTTCCCCCAGCTTCTGCTATATCTATTTATACCATACTATATATTTTAATTTATTTTTTGGTATTTTTCCAAAGAGGTCACAGCGTGACGATTAACGGCTGCATTTTGTTTTTGTATTTCACTAAATCTAATCTATTCTAAATTTAATTTGTTTTGTTTTGTTTTGCTTTTGGTTGCTCTAGTTTTAAAACAGGCGGTGGAAATAGATATGGAACGATTTACTGACCTGCTCCATGCCAGCTGGTAGAACCAGACACGTTAGATCGAGCGACTTGAGTAGCTCACACATGGCTTCCTCGGTGGTCTGGCTTAAGGATTCGAGTGTCATCACGACGGCCTCATAGACGAGCTCATGATGGTAGTGGGGCACCTCGAGGGCGCGCAGACAGCGCTGCGCCTCGGCCACGTCGCGGGAGGACAGATACTCCTTGAGCAAGAGGGTCATCTGTTTTGTGATGGTTTTCACTGGCCGCAGGGGTCCGCCCATGCCCCAGACGTTGTCCAGATGGGCCCACACCTGCTTGTGGAGCAACGCATCGGCCCGGCGCAGCGCCTGCTCGGCGTACTCGTTCATCTGCTGGTGCTCCTCAGGTCGACTGACGAACTTCGGCGGCATGCAGTCGTCGGCTATGGCTCTGGCCATGAAGTTGCCCAGCATGACTGGTGCCTCGGGTGTGTCCAGTATGAGATCGGGCAGATTGGCTAGCACCATGTTGAAGCCCTTCTCGATGTCCTTGCCGGTGATGACGCGGCCATAGAGATCTGAGATTAACACCGAGGTCATCTCCCGCTGCGAGTCCTTGTGGTCCATCGCAATCTCGACCAGGATGCTGGTGATGTATTCTCGCAGTGGGCTCTGCAAGATCTCGTCAAAGCTGACAGCCACCTCGTGGGTGTCCCCATGCTCGTAGTACTCGAGCACGATCGGCTCGGCGAGCTTGAAGAATTCTTCGGGCGTGATTTCGGTGATGACCTCGCGTAGCTCCACATTCCGATCGTTGACCTCGCTGTCATAGTTGGGATCATTCTCATCTTCGTACACCTCGGCCAGCGCCTCCGATCCGGGCAATCCCCAGACCCCTTTGCCGCCGGCGCCGCCTTTCTTGGGCAGGCCCCGCCCACGTGTCAAATTACGGGATCTTCGGCTATTCTTCCAGCGCCGATGCGGCACCACATAGCCTGTGCCGGATGGCAAGATGCCGTTGGCCAGCGACGACACCGTGGTACTGGCGATGCTCGGAAGAACCCCGCCTCCAGCAGTAGCGACGCCATTGGTTAGGGATGTGGCAGATGTACCGCTGCCACTACCACTACCGCTGTTCTGTCTTTGGATGAGGCGCTTGGCCTTTCGCTTGATGCGGCCATCATGGCCGTCACCCACGGGCAAGGGCTTCTTGATGTGATTGTGCCCATTCGAGGGCCCGCCGTTCAGCTCTACCGCCTCAATCTCGCCATTCAGTTCCCGCTCCACGGAGCTCTCCTTTGAGTCGGAGCCGCCATTGCTGGCAACGTCGCCGTTAGCTTTCTGGTTGGTGTTCGACTCCAGTTCCATTCTGCTGTTTTCCGATCTCTCACTTTCTTTATATACTATCCGCTTTGATCCTGCTTTGAATACACTCACACTCTCTCTCTCCTTTGCCTTTCCCTCTCTCTCGGGATTTTTCTCGCTGCTGTTTCTTCTTGGAATGCACAACAACAGTTAGAGCAAGAAACACAGTTTCTTTATGTATATGTATCGCTCACTCTTTCTCAATCTCTAGTTTGTTAATTGTACCGTGTGACCAGGTGCTACACTTTTCTCGTGCTCCTTGTTAAGTTTGCTTGCTCTTGATTTAATTGGTTGCTATAAAACACAAGGAAATAATATAACAAGAGTGAGATATTAGTGAACGTCAACTTAGTAGATTTTTATTTTCTTTGTAATACATTTACGTTATATTTAAATAATTGTTGACAATGAAAAGAATTATGCAATACTGGAGATATATGTATAGCCCAAATACATTTCCATTATTTTCCCCCTACCGATAATATTGCAATGTAAATGGATTATAAATTCAATAAAATGATTAAATCTGAAGGAAACAAATCCCAATGAATAACATCCCTATATGTTTACATGCATATGCAAATAATTCATAAAAAGCGATTCTTTACGTGGACAATGCATGTAAAGTCGCCCCAAAGTCTTGCGCCATCTATCCATACATATGTCTACGTACTAAACTACATACATATGTACATTGTTGTGATCACTCACACACCCGAACAAGCACAACAGGCGGCTGACTAGACTAGAAAAAGACAGCAATAGCGATACGGCGGCCGTCGCTTAAAAACTATAAATAAACAATATTGGCATTTATGTACAGAGTTATTTGTTTTTGTTGTGTTTCTTTTTGTTGTTACATTCGCATGCAAGTGCCGTGATTTATTGCAAAGAGACTGCCAAAATGATTGTGCGAGGCAAATACGAACATACTTGTGTTCGTATACATACATAAATATGTACACACAATGTATGTAAGCGTAGACTGTGTATGACAATGTTTATATTCATAATTATTTGCATTCATACTTTGTATACCTAAAGTCCGAGAAGCATATATGTATGTACATACATATGTATGTATATTTGGTGCTCACGAGCAATGTATTTATTATATTATATATACATATATATATATTATCTTACGACCAATATGTTTGAATGGATATGTAAATATATACGTATATGTACATATGTTCATATGTAGATATGTGAGATACGCATATCAAACTCTCACTGGCAGCCTGGACAATTTCAAGGTCACAAATACAGCAAGCATAAACGTCGCCGTTAGCTTTTCAACCCTCACAATTGACTAACATTATTGCCATCTCTGTTGCTCTCAATAAGTGAACTTTAAACGAAGTTTGTCACAGACACATTTATCGATATGTGCGGGGCTTGTCTGTGCACAGAGTATTGGATATGTGTACTAACAGAGATATGTCAATAAATCGACATATGTATGTATGTTGTGTTTGGATATAAACGTATGTACGTACGTAGAGAACAGCACCGTTTCTTTTAATTTTGTTATTGTATTGTTTTGTAAAACTGCACATAGATAGGCAGTGAAAAGAAGTACATATGTACGTATATGTACATTAACGTGAGTTTTAAATACATGTGTATTACATACATATATAATAAATCCTATGCTATTGCGTCGCATGTTCCTTCTCTTCAATACATAAAAGCACACACACACACACACACACATGGTTTTATATGCTGTAACCGGTTTGATGTTTGTTTTGCCCGGTTTAACCTTGAAAATGATTCCCCTCTTACAAACTTTCTATGTTATTGCCGCACTGCGTTGTTGTTCTTGCCTCCGTTTCGCACTTGTTGTGCCCCCTCTGCAAGCACACCCAAAACAAAAACCAACCACCGTTGCAATTCAGCAGGAGTGCCCATTTCAAAATTTGGCAATGTTTTTAAAATAAATACATAAATGCGTATGTAGATATATAAACATAAACACATACATAAATATATGTACATACACACATTATTGTTGTTTTCGTGCGTGCTTGTAATTGTTTTCGAAATTCTCTGCAAAGAGCATAAAACGACGCCTTGCCGAAATTGCGTCGCAAAAAATGAAGACAACTGCTGCAGAAGCGAATACAGCAGCAGCCGCAAGAGCAGGAATAGCAGCATAACTAACGTAGGTAAGTATGCTTCACTAAAAACAGTAACATCTATAAAAATAAGTACACACTAGCCACGACGATTGTATTTGTTTACATTATGGTTTCTCAAATTAATAATATGTAGATATATGTGTATGAAGCTATATTTGTGTGTATATTTGAATTCATAAAAAAAAATTAAAAATTGCATTCCATTATGTAATGTAGATGTATGTAAGTATGAATTTCTGTATGCAAGCATACATTAAGAACATAAACAACATACAAAAGGAAATTCGCAACAGTGGCAACGCCAATGATGACCCGCACATGGAAATGGAATGAGCTGGAAGTTTGCCGAATACAAATTCAACGAGCATAAGAGAAGAGGAAGAAGAAAAACAAGTTGGCGCGCATGGTTGTATTCTCGGGCCGCCCTCTCCACCCCATCAATTTGTGAAGCTGTATGTTTGATTGTGTGCGTGAATGCCGGTCGAATTTATCACGTACGCCATATACATATACATATACAACATTCGAAATCTAATTTTAAATTTAAATATATTGCATCAATTGGAAATGCAATAACTAATGTAACAGCCAATGTAACTTACAAATATATATGTATGTGCGCATATATACATATATGTGTGCATACTCTTTAACTGTATACTTATATACATACATTTCTATAGTACAAGTATTTTATTTATTATGGATTCATTTTCGCTTCGCGGTAAATGCCGGTAAAAGCCGGTTTTTGTTTGTCTCAAATTATATACATACAGTAAGACAGAGATAGATGCCACAGCGAAAGAGTGTGAGAGAGAGAGAGAGAGAGAGAGAGAAAGAGC